TCAGTGGCGCACACTCAATCTTACTAACATGGGTCGCACATTAAAAAACAACGATGACCACCCACCCATTAGCAAAGCAACTCCAATATAGACCTTCTAGGCACTTGAGATTAGCCCCCCCCCCCCTAAAGTCATTAAAGTTTAATAATAATTTAAATTTTATTTTTATATAATAATAATGACTATAACAACTATTACATTCATTTTTGTCTATATAAATGTTTTAATTACATATTTAAGTTTGTAACTTGTAAATAAGGAAACTTTTTATCAAACCAAATTAAATTCCTATACACTTAGATCAATATACTTAACTAGCGTTCACAAGACAAAACTATAGCATATTATATAATTATTCAAAAGTATACAAAATGTTTAAGGCAAAAATAGTAAAAAATAGTTTTTACCATTTTTAATATATACATTTTAAATGATCCTTTATAAAGATGTGTATTTAAAATAAAAGCCAAGTTAAATTAGTAAGACTTAGATAGAAAAAGAACTTAAATTGTAATTTTTTTTTTTTTTAGATAAGCAATACAATTTATTAGAATTAAGTTGTATATTATTTTTAAAAAGAGGAAATACAATTAGAAATAATTATATTAATACAATAATGCTTTTTCTAACAATACACTTTTTCTCGCAAAATCGTTGATTATTTGATCAGTTTCAATTTTGATATCTGATTCACAAGAAAGTATCATTAAGCTCTCAAGTCTTCCTTCTGCCATAGTGCTACGTAATTTGTTTTTTACAATATTTAACTTTGAGAATGTTCTCTCTGGAGTAGTACTAGCCACTGGAAGAGTAACAGCAATTTTTAAGGCAGTAGTAAGCATTGGAAATGTAGATGATAGGCCACTGATTAGCAAAACCTTTAAAACAATCGACAAACTGCATCCATTTTTTTGAAATTTTGATACTTCTTTGACTTGCTTATTTTGACTGTTCTCAAAACTATCTTCTATTTCTGATTCTGATGCTCCATCAGTCAATGAACCACTAAGGGCATCATCAATTTCTATTTCAGAGCTATGCAATTTCAAGGGCAATAATTTCACTTGTTCAAAATTGAAATAACTTTTAGAAAACTGCAAATATTCCCTTTTTAAATCATCTTTCAGTATAAATTTACTGTAAACATCAGAAAACACATCAAATGCATCTTTAGGTAATAGATCATTATTTTTTGAAATTTCTTCTAAACGTCTACGAGAAAATAAAGACAAATCTTTGTATATACCCTTGGTGATTTCACTGAACCTTTCTTTAATCTGTATAATTGCAGTATCATATGCAACAAAAAAAGTTTGAATTTTAAAATGTTGAAGTGGATCAGTGATAACTTCATCTTGGGTTTCTTCAGCAGACTTTTTTGGAACTCGCTTTAAACGATTTAGTGGTAATGGTTTAAAATCTTCGTTATCCACAGATGTGCACATTTTAAACTGATCAACTTTTTCCTGTAATTTTAAAAAGTTTTCATCACTTCTGGCATTTTTTTAGTTCACGTATTTTATCATCTACTACAGCTATAACTCCAATTAGGTCTATGTCTATAGTTTGTAGCATTTTACTTAAAGGTGTCACAATTTCAAATAACTGTTTGTAAATAAATGCAGTTAACAAAAATTTGTCACAAATTAAATTTTCTTTTAAACTTTTTGCTTGGTAGGCTCCTTTTCGATCACTTGTACATTCACTTTTTTGAAGTTCTTCTAATGTGTTACATAATGCATCAAATGTATCCAAAACAGTGTTTAATGCCAAATCATGGGACCACCACCTTGTTGTCTGAACTCTTTTAAATCGACGTTTACGTTGTTTATTACCATAACATTTTTCTTGATGGAGTTCAAATAATGCAACCCTTTTCTTGCTTGAATTAATAAAATCATGTATGGTTTCTATAATTCCAAACATATCAACAGCATTCACAGAGGAACTAACAGCATCGGTAAGGACCAAATTCAGTCGATGTGCATAACACCATACAAAAATAGCAGCAGTATTAGAACGCCTAATTATAGCTTGGAGACCATTATATGAACCACGCATATTACTAGCCCCATCATAGGACTGTCCCACTAAATAATCACTCCAATTTAAAGAATTATCATTACAAATTTTTTCAAAAATATTAAACAATTGTTCTGAAGAAGTATTACTGCATTCTTTTAAGTTAATTAACCTTTCATTGATTTCTCCACTATCTTCATTTAAATATCTTATAACAAATGATAACTGTTCTTTTCTAGAGTTATCAAAGGTACTATCCATTGTAAGACTAAAAAATTTGGCAGTTTTTATCTGTTTTAAAACCACAACACGAGTATAACTAGCTAAAGATTCTATCATTTGATTTTGTCGTCTCCATGAAATAAAATCATACTTGTTTTTATTTTTTTCTTGATGCCCAACAATGTAAGATGCTAAGATAGGATGGTATTTGCCCAGTAAGCAAACTAGATCTCTAAAATTTCCTCTTAAATTTTCTGACCAACTTTCTCGGTGTCCTCGAAAAGCAAGGGAATGTCTAGCCAAGTATAAAATTATTTCAATAATAGCTTCAACTATCTTACGATTTGTTGCAACAAACTCATTTCTTGCTTTTAACATACTAGGCAAAAGAGGCAAACATGTATCTTCTAATTTAATTTTAAGACAAGCTTCAATATGATTTGATGATGTTTCGTGCATCACTATTCTCTCAGATGCTTTATTCCAACTGCTGAAGCCTGTGCTAGTCCATACAGTACTTTTTTCATTTCCAATTAATATGCAATAAATACAAAATATTTTATCTTTACTACAAGAGTAAGAAATCCATTCTCTTCTAGTAGCTGAACCATCTGGCATGGTTTTCATATACCAAGAACATTGAAAACTTCTACTATTGTGTACTGGAAATCTTTTATTTGGCATATCAATTTTTTGAGGTTGACAAGGGCCATTATTTAGAATTAATTTTCTTTTTTCGTAAGAAAATGGAGCTAGCAACGTCAATTCAGCTGGATCATTTGAGAAGACATCAATATTTAAATCAACTAGAAATTAAAAATTAAAAATAACTACAGATTACAATGGTCATAACTCATAAGACAATCAAAGTTTGATTCTTCTTTTATTTATTAAGATCTTTCGATCTTTGAAATGTATGTATACACACCAACTTACCAGAATTGGTGGAATTATATGTCAAATTTACATTTTCTGTAGTAGTTGTAATTTCTGCTGTGGGATTTTTGAATAGATCTGCATACACACTATCATCATTTGATTCAATATTTATATTTTCTATAGCAGCTGTTGTATCTGGATCATGTTCTTTAGGAAGAATTTAAAAAGAAAATTACAATAAAATTCAATAAACCATAATAAGTTCTCACTATGTACAAATTAAGTTATAGGTAATTTTAAATCTCATATTAAACTATCAATCTTAAATTTATATTAGGTTCCAATGATACAATTGCAAAATTAAATGGTAGTTATAAGTTTATTAAAATATTTTTAACATAATATTTACCTACTTATCTAAATAAAATAATATAATATATTTGAATTAAATATTATTATTAGGTAGGTACCCATCTAATATTATTATATGTATATAATTTTCATCATTATTATGACTATAGTAGTAGGTATTACTATTTTAATATAATTTACCTGGTGTAACAATGGTTGATTTTAATTTTTAATTATTAGGAAAATAATTTAATAATTACATAGACTCATAGACAAGTCTGTAAATGAATACACAAAAAAATATTAAGTATTAAGTTAAGACTTCAAGTTATAACATATTACCTAACATTTAACAACTTACATTATGTTATATTCACATAGTAATTATTAATATTATAATATACGTTTAATATTAATTTATAATCAATTGTATTATATAATTTACCTAATGTAACTATGGTCGATGCAGAAGCTCCCATTGTACAGTCATCATTTTGTTCAGCAGCTAAAACAGTATATTAAATTTATCGACACTCTAAATTTAAATACATTTTCAAAATATCTCTATTCCTATTCAATTTTAATTTTTAAATCATTATGAAATTAATCAATCAACTACATGGTCTTTTAAGTCTTGTCAAATATCTATACAAAAATATTAAGTTGAAAGTTCGGAATTTTTTTATGACGAATTACCTTACAATTAACATAATATTTAATTTATTAACTATTTTTCGATACTTACCAGAATTGTTTTTAAGTTTTTTAGCAAAAAAGGTATCTAAGTTTCCTTTTTGTCTTTTATTACTGAATCTTTTTTTTTTTGCACGACTCAATGTGTCTACACCAATTAGTTGTATTTTGATTAACACGTTCACGACCACAATATTCACATTTCATATTAATTTTAAAAATGAACTATTAAAAGTTTTTAAAAAAGTTCAGAATATGAACACTAAAATTACAGTGAAAAGAGTTAAGAATTAATACTTAACTGAACTAGACTGAACACTGATGTGAACGATAGAAATTAATACATTTGCATGGCAGTATAGCACTTAAAGATAAAATAAGTATAAACTATAAATACAAAATTGTAATGACTAATCAGACTAATGAATAATGACACGATTCTCATCGGGCGTGCGGTATTTCCCCAAAATGATTTAAAATATACTTTATCTTATCGTAGACTAATTTATACACTAATATAATATTATTATTATCGCATACAATGGGCATGAATATCATTGTTCTCGCCCGTTCTTGGTAAAAATATAGCATTTTATCGCATTAATCCATCAAATTCTTAATTCAATTGAAATATTTTAATAGAACATTATAGATATTATGACGTTGTCATTACCCATTGTCGTTATTATTATGTCGTTGTTATTTAAATAACACGATAAATTCATTCTATATAGTAGGTATTCTACAAAATCTTAGCTATAATATTCATCACCACCAGGTTATAACGGTCAACGACCACCCACCACCCAATTTTTTTAGGGGGTCAACTGACCCCCTTGACCCATAACGTGTGCGCCACTGCGCTTCATCAACTTCAAGTTCAATCCTGAGGTCTACGGTTGACATTTTCACGTTGTCGTTCTGCCGACTCATGTCGACAACAATAATTGGAGAAAGATTTTTGAAATCCGAACGGTTCAATAGAGGTGTCACATCGTTATAACCATAGTATGATTTCTGGAACTCGGTATATGCGTGATATAATGTAGTCATCTTGTTCTTAGTAAAGTCGCTTTGAAAATCTTCATATGGGAATACTTCAGAGTTTAAATAGACCTTTACGTTTTTAATTTTACAATGATCGAAAAATGACATTGCTTTACTTGAGCTATTTTTCCTATCGGTTTGAAAACCGATTATGACATATCTAGGTTTTTATAATTTGTTAGATGTCATTACTTTCCACGAATGCGAAGTGTTTTGAGGTAAAAACGGATATTCACACAGTTCCCACGATCTAAACGCACATGTTAGAGGTTTCTGATTGTTGATTACTTTCAACAGTCGTATTTTTTCTCTATCATTCACTTTCACTATGGGCATTCTCCACAATATTTTTGTTATGTTTATTTTAACGTCTTTTACAGTGGCGTTTCCTGACTTTCGGCGTTAGGCGTTAATGTGTGAGGAAAACAATTAGGAAAACTCCCCTTACGGGAAATAAATTCGTATCAACTATTAACAATCAACATATTATTAAAATTATTTATTTTAAATACTTTTAAATTTTTAAAAATACATCCAAATCCAACATCTATAAAATTAAATATAATATAAAACTGAAAATGTACAAATTAATATAATAATGAATATATTATGTTTTCGACGATCGGCGTTGCAGTCTTGCAGTACGAGTGTACGACGTAAACAGGATAACGTGCAGCCGCGACGATCCCCACTAACGGTCCAAACACAGTGTATAGGCTAGCGCTAGACTAGTGAGTAGTGGCTAGTCGTTAATTTCATTTTCAACGACTTGGTCTAGTATTAACATGGCACCGAAGTTATCCGAAAATATCACGACAAATTACGAATATGAGATATTAGATACCACAAGTCGTTGTTCGAAACATTAACGTCCTACACGGCTACACCCTACACAAACACAACATAATACAATATTATTCCGTAATCGGCGTAATCTTATTGGACGCCGTTGCGCGTCGTAGCTGCAGACGGCGCGGGCGAATGGTCGAGTTTAGAGCTTAAAATAGACAATAGTAACAATAGTTTATTATTTGATATTATTATTTTTACATGACAATTATTTTAAGATTTTGTAAATAAAATTATATAACCATGTAATATACTAATATGAATTACAAATTACAATATTACACACATGTATGACATCAATGTTTAGGGCGTTAACACACAACTTGCACACCCAGAGAAAACGCCACTGGTCTTTTAGTTTAGGAGCGTCTACTATTTCATTATTTTTAAACTGTTTAACAGCATTCATATCGATCGATGCTCTATTTAATATAAGTTGTTGATTACAGTTTATTAAAATACGTTTATAATCTTCACAAAAACCAAACAAATCTTTAAGATTAATACACCCGTTAAAATTACCGCTGACGATAAAATCTTTATTGACATTTTTAATATCACTATCCCAGGCAGCGTTATGATGCGATATAATATTTGATTTATTATACGAACAATATCCTTTTAATGTAGTCGAAATACCTGGGTTAACAAGTTTTTGAATTTAAGTACCGTTTATTTCATATTTCATTTCAGAGAAAATAAATGACAGTCCATTGTTTATAAATCTAATTTCTTCAGTTATTTCTGTAGGTTTGGTTATTGTACCCTCGATGTAAATATAACTCTCACATGGTAAAGTATAAGACTCTGTGTTATGTAAAGCAATACGTACTTCATCGTTATTGGAGAGGGCAGATGTTGAATAAGGTAAAAATGAATGATATTCAATTTGAGTTATTTTATAATCATCGGTGTATTCAGCCGTGACATCTAAATACATATCATCCATATTAAATAGCGTTTAGCGAGCGTAGAAAAGCCAAATTTTCTGGTGTTAGACTATGTTCAACTAGTTTACGTTTAGAATATTTCTTCTTAAGAGTTGTTACCTTGATAGTGTTTCTAACACGACTAACAGGTTTTACAGATGCATTCGTATTTATATTATAAAATTGTAAGCCCATCACGAGTCTTGAATTAATAATCGTATTTATACTGGTTCACCTCGTAGATCAATCAACTCATTATCTTGATTTTTTAAAATTATACTTGCATGCGATATAGATGTAGCATTGAGAGAATAAAACACCAAATGTGTTGGAACCTCTATTATTTTATAGCCTGGAGGTACATTCGGATAAAACTCATGTATTGTATGACACTGCTTACCGTTGACGAATGAACCCATAACCAGATTTGAATCGATATATATACAGTTTGTTTTGGTTATATTAACCAACGTATCTGATTCGTGATTGATATTAGCATCATATTTACCATTTTTAAACCCTAACAACTGCCCAATACTATTAGACATGGAAAAATCTACAGTTTCACTGCAAAACATTGAACATTTTAATGTATTATTATCTGCTCTCAATACGAATAAAATATTCGACTTGGGTAATGCACGCTTTATTGCCGCCTCAATTTCTTTCAACTTGTAAGAGCCTGTAGGTATTGTGTAACTAGTGCTTACACGTACATCGAGATTATTATATACGAAACCTAGTTTATTGCACTTGTCGTTTACATTAGGTATAGAATTATTCGTTTGAAAACCTAACAGTCCGATTTTTGCATTTTTACTTACTTCTATAGGTGGGAAAAAGTCGCATGATAATTCGCTTGAGTTGCCGGTAAAGTTATAGTATACATGATAAAAATTTTAAACACACATGCCCACAGTTTATTGTATTATATTTTTGATATCGTTCGTAATTATATTCAATATTGTATCCGTTAAAATATTTCTGTAATTCTAACGGAGGGGGTATGTTTCCGTAGCTGTCAAAATATTTAACTTGTTTTCCGATTTTCTTATACGCTACCCAATGAGGAGTACCTGTACCGATTTCACTGTCTAAATTAACTACACCTGACTCTTGATTTTTGATACGTTGTGGCAACTTGTCTCTAGAAAATACACCGATGAAATGAGGTATTTTCAACAAAACAGCGTATTTTATAATCTCATAATCGTACAACGCTCTATCGGGTAACGTGACAATTAGTTTTTTGAAGATTTTCTTGATTTCTTAACTGATCCGCCCTTGTATGGTGCTAGGTATAAATCTTTACCTTTTACGATTTTATAAGAACTACCTTTATGAGGTGCTAGATATAGACCTTTACCTAAATGAATAGGAGTGTTTTTACCAGAATTTAATTCATTCACGACATTTACTATATTACCAACACCACCGGTAAGTGCGTCTAATGCAGATAAACCAGCAAAAATAGGTATTAACGGTAAAACACCACCCTTTTTTGGTATTGGTATAATTCTTAGAGTTTTAGTCTTCTTATTTTTAGATTTTTTAGATTTTTTCGCAGCTGTCAGACATGTTTTTACTAATTTAGTTATATTATTTTCATTCATTTTATTTTTGATTGAATTTTTAGCAGTTGAAACAATTTGTTTAAATCCACATCCAGCGCCCATCTTACGTTTGACCTTCATGGCTGTAGTAACTAGCCAAGACGCAGCTTTTTCCTTGATACCAGTGTTTTTAGATTTAAACACCTCCCACGCTTGATTTTCCAATATTTCGTCTGCTCTATGCCTATCAGTTAGCGAATTACTTTCTTCGTATGCGATATCGTGAGCTCTGGCCAACTCGTCAAGACGGTTTATTCCACGTTCTCCACGTGCTAATCTTTCTTTTAATTTGGTTCCAGGACTAGCAAATCTATAACATAAATATATAATTTAGTTGAGATTTTAATAATATATTACAATGACATACCTGTAGCCTGGTAAATGTAATTCCACGGGTAAATGATTTATAACAGAGTTAATAAAACCGGACCCCTTATTGTTGTTCCGCTTACGAACGTGAGACATCGTGTGACGTTCTCACTAACATAGCATCTGTATTTATAGTGAAAAATTTTTCTTTTTAAAAATGCGCTTTATCGAGCAAGAGAAAAAACTTCAAATTTATAACATTGATACCCCTGATACTATACAGTTGAGACACGGCGAGCTTTTCCCAAATACGATAAGGTCGTTAGTACTCGGGAGCTCGGGATGTGGTAAAACCAATCTTATATATTTTCTACTAGTCGATGAAAACGGTTTACGATTTGAAAACGTTTATATATACTCTAAAACGCTTGAACAACCAAAATATAAACTATTAAAACGTATTATTGATAGTATTGACGGTATCAATATTTTTACTTTTTTCGAGAATGATAAAGTAATTCCACCTGAAAAAGTCTTATCAAATTCAATTTTTATCTTGGATGATGTTATCGGGGAACAGCAACAAGTAATAAGAGAATATTTCTCTCGAGGTCGTCATAATAAAATAGATATATTTTATCTGGCTCAGAGTTATTCTAAAGTACCTAAACAGTTGATACGTGATAATGCAAATTTAATAGTATTGTTCAAACAAGATGAAACCAATTTAAGACACGTGTACAACGAGCACTGTTCTGGAGATATGTCATATATGCAATTTAAATAGTTTTGTGTAACATGTTGGAACCGCGATAGGTTTACATTTGTCGTTATTTGTAAAGATAGCGATCGTGATAACGGACGTTATCGTTTTGGGTTTGATACTTATGTAGTTATATAACACGTTACAAATAATAAAAATGTGTCATTCAAAACGTAGTCATGACAGAATCAACTACTGTTTTAGATGAGCTAGTTAAAGCTAAGGAAAGTATCAAACGTAAATACATTGCATTAAAAACCGGGTCAGATAATGTTCAACAATTAATGACACAGACATTAAAACCAATTATCGATCCTTTAACTAAAATATCAAATAAACCCGGATTATCATTGATCAAAGAAAATAATAACGATAAATCGAAAAACTCATTTGCTAACGACTATCAACAAGAAATTGAAAATTGGCTTCAGTCTACAGACTTGGATAAAATCTATGGTCCGAAAAAACTTCCAAACGGCTATATTATCTTGGGTGATAAAGAAGTAAAATTCATTGAAAACACTATACTTATTGATGGTACTGTTTACCCATCAACATCAGGTCTTACACAGTTATTATTTTTGAAAAATCCACTTGTTTATACTGACAACGATTTAGCTATATATAAATCTATATTAATTCAAACATCGGTACATTTAACTACAAACGGAAAAAAAAAAATAAAAAAGGGTAGCTCTAAATATTCTACAGTTATCAGGAAATTATTTCCCTCGGGTGGCGGGCTGTCCATGAAATTACAGAAAAATAACCTAGTATATTGGGATAATCCAAACGAGTTGGTCGATCGATTACGTTTACTTCTTGCGTCAACATCAGCCGGCAATACAGGTGTCTCTAACGAAATAATTTCGATTTTCGAAGAATTACGTGAGGCTGGATTAATAAAACGAATTCCAAATGTCTAAACGGGAAATCGCCAACGAACTTCACAAGCCGGCAAGGAAAAATTTCACTAGGCGTAGAGTTAACGTTTATGGAAAAAATGATTTATGGCAAGCTGACTTGGTTGAAATGATACCATATTCAAAGAAAAATGGTGGATTTAAGTACATTTTATGTGTTATTGACTGTTTTACAAAACTTTCTTGGGCAATACCATTAAAGACAAAATCGGGTAAAGAAGTTACTAGTGCGATGGCTACAATATTACTTGTTCGTTCACCAAAACTTTTACAACTCGATAACGGAAAAGAATTTTATAACACTACTTTTGACGCTTTAATGACCAAGTATAACATACACAAATATTCAACTTTCAGTATTCTAAAAGCGAGTATAGTAGAAAGATTCAACCGTACTCTGAAACAAAAAATGTATAGAGAGTTCACTGCACGTGGTTCACACGAATGGGTTTCAATTTTACCAAAGTTGCTTGACGAATACAATAATTCACGACATAGGACTATAGGAATGACACCAGTACAAGCAGATTCCGACCCCGCATCAGTGGTAATAAAACAGTGTAAAATTAATAATGTAAAAATTAAATTCAAAGTCGGCGATAACGTTCGTATCAGTACACAAAAAGGCGTGTTTACAAAAGGTTATCTACCAAACTGGTCTACGGAAATATTCAAAGTTATCAAAATAAATAAAACATTACCCGTTACTTATCAATTACAAGATTATATGGGTAAACCTATATCCGGATGTTTTTACTCTGAAGAAATATACAAGTCCAATTTCCCAAACGAATATTTAATCGAAAAAATTATACGTAGGAAGGGAAAACAAATATATGTCAAGTGGTTAGGATTTGATAATGCACATAATAGTTGGATAAATGCATGTGATGTTAAGAAATAGTGTCAGTCGTACTTTAGCTATGAACGTGTTTGGTAGTTCTCAATCGAGTGATACTAAAAACATTGTAACAAATATCGAGCAGTCTTTCAAAACATATACACATAAATTTGATCAAATCGAGCATTTACTTGAAGAAAATTATAAATCCATTCATGTGCAGGAAGAACAAATAAAAACGATACAACTATCGTCTATAGAAGTTGCAGAGCACGTGAAAAGTATTGGAGTTTATCAAAACTATATGTGTATTGAATTGAGAAAAATATTACCTAACATAATAAGTACTATTGAATCTCATTATAAAGACAAGTCATAATGTGTTCGGCCATCATAGACATTCAATGCGTTCTTGGAGTAAAAAATAAATATTTTATTAATATTATTATAATCGACACAGAAACATGGGCAACTCAACATTAGATTTTTAAAAATTCAAATACTATGTAGGACAACAAGAGTCGAAAAACTAACAAGTGGTTGGAGCATAATTATCATCAACTATCTCTGGAATATGGCGATGTCGAGTACGAGGAACTCGGAAGGATATTGAATTCGTTGAAATTCCAAGTGCATTTACGTGAAGGGTGAGCAGAAAAAACAACTTCTTATGAACTATATTCCACACATTGCACTCATTAACATCGAAGACTTGGGCTGCCCTCGATTGGATCAAATTTGTAACGATGAAACTCTACCTTGTTATATTTTTCATATGGAATTTAATCCAAAACAATGTACATTCTATAAAGTATTTGCTATAAGAAAATGGTATATAAATAATTCGTAAAAAAAAAAAAAAAAAAAAGAGATTGTATATATTATATTTAATAAACATAATAATATTATACGTTAACATTGCTTTTTTATTTATATTTTAATTAAATACAATGATTCCTATCTGAAACATTTATATAGGAAAAAAAAAGTGTACAATAAATAAATATAAATGTATATATATATAGGTAACTATATGGCTTTTGCATTAATCAATCTTAATAATTTATCAATTACATGCTTACATTCATATAATACAACGTAAATATAAATTATTATTATAGTAATATATACAATGCTATTTACAAATTGAATATATATATATATATATATATATATATAATATTTTTAAAAATAGTGGTAGGATTATTTAGTACTGTACTGAAGAAGCTCTCTCATAAAACTTTTTTCAAAATCTAACCATCTACGTCCTTCACCATCTACCTCAAAATCAAGTTCTGACTACTCCTCAGCTTCTCCAGGTTCGTCTTCCCTATAAAAATTAAAAGGTAAAATAATTTGAAAAGTATATAGTTTTAATAACTTACTCTATACTGTAATGTCCATGAGCTAAGGTATGTATTTTATCAATCAATACCACTCGCTTGTCGTCATAATTGTTGTATGTTAACTTTTTTGTTTTTATTGTCATGAGCTGGTGTTTGAACGATCTGATTGATATATTATCTAATATCTTTATATGCCTCCACTCTACCTTCATCAAACAAACACCTTCTATGTTCCTCCAACGTCATATGGTTTTTAACCACATGCTGTCTTACCCCCTTAGCCTTGATATTTTCTCCACCAACTTTATCCTTATCGTCCTTATCTCTCACCGCATCCTCTTCTCCTGCATTTATGTTGTACGCGTATGATTTTGCACGTAGTGCGCAAAACTCGGTCATCGTATGTCCTTTTACCTCGTCTGAGAAAAAGCCTGGCACCTTTTTCCTAGCTGTAGTGTAGCACAGGTGGATAGGAGGTAAGTCCGCCGTATCCAGTCTATCCATCAAGTTGGAGTTGTCAAGTAAGTCTTTATAAAAATCATCGGTTTTAATAAGGTATATCAATGAATCTGTAATAATGATATTAAATTATTATATTATGTAGATGCATGAGGATAGTTTAAATATATTTACCTGTGTCAGTATACATAAGCTTGATATTATTAGTATAATGTTTTTTCATAACATTATAATGATAATCGTACATCATCGTCTTGGAGATGTCAAGTACAGCAAATCCTATATATAATAAATGAATTAATAATGTATATTATAAAAATTAAAAAGTCTATTTACCAATATAGATATGTTTATCAAATTTTATTATTTTGTTTTCCAGTGCGACCGCATTCAGGTTTTCACTATACCTAGTCGTATGCTTAAATGTCGTTTTATTAATAAGTCTTTGTAATCGTCTCTCACATGACACTAACTCCATCTTCATTTCTTTCCTTTTCGATTGCATAGTCTTCCCTAGAAAAAAAAAAAAAAAAAAAAAAAAACTGATAGTAAAATAGTAAAATTAAGTAAATAAAGTGACATACCAAATACTGCGTTGTTCATTAATTTGAAAAAGTCCTTCTCAAAGTCATTATTTGCCTTCTTTCTCATTTCAGTGTTTAAGTTAATGTAATCTGCTAACCATGCAGACTGACTGAACTCTAAAACTCTATGTACCTAAAAAAAAAAAAAAAAAAACTTATATATATAAATATGAATAAAAGCTTTTAAAATAAAAATATTTACTTTATCAACTATCAACCCATTTTCAATTGCCTGCTGCAGGTTCCTATAATGAATAATATAATTCCTCTTCTGCTGAAACGTTGCCATCAATTTTTTTACCTTCGAACCTGGTGGTATACCGTTTTGTGGTAGGAAAGGTAGATCGTTATCATGATCGTGTAAGTGTTGTGGGTATGAGATATCGACTTCGTATACTCGTCCTTTATCTGACGTTGGTGACATCTCGCTCAGTCCGTTCAGGTTGGATTCAACCCAGTTGAAGTTACCGTATGGCATGTACTGACTCATAGCCCAACCATAGAGATTATTACCTATAAAGTTTAAAGTTTAGGATTGAAAATAAAATAAAATAAAAAATATAAATATAATTACAGTCTTGATATATCAACCAAGATTTATCCTTAGTCTTGTCATAGTCTGGGGTCTTTATATTATTCGCCTTCGCGTACCTCATGCTTGCCTGTACCAATCCACCACGAATACCTATAAAAATATATATATAAGATTATTATATATATATTATATATATATTTTAAAAATAATTTTGATATACTAACCATCCTCAAACATCAATAACATATCATAATCAGTCAACAGCTGCAACTTTTGACCTGTAAATTTCATCATTGCGTCAAAGCTCAGCCCAGGTACGGTAAAGTAGTAAGCGGCATCAAGGTTATACGTTTTCATACAGACATCGCGAAAATTCTCAAAGAAGTCTGCCAACAACAAAACGTTGATTTTCAAATACAAATCACTGTACTCGCCCAACGTCTTACAACCGAAGTGGTCCCAGACCTCCTTCGCGTGATCATATTCCTCTTCCTTTATTCCCGACTCATTTAACGTGCTATAAAATTCTTTCTTCCTAGGTAGTCTTACTTCATCTAACCGCTTCCATCCATCCGTGTACTCGTACGGGTAAACCCCCTTCCGAGTCACGAGTGACATATCGACTTCATCGAAAACTTTAGCGGTCTCTCTGAAGTTCTCTAGACCCGGTGTCACAAGATTTTTGGCTAGAGTTGACAGTCCTGATGCCATAAACCGAAAAGTGTCTATGAAGCGGATTGAAAATTTATTTGACACGTATTTAGAGAATGATATGTATTTTTCCTCACTGTTCGGTATTACTCTAATGGCTTGGGTGTCATGACCAAGTTCTTTGACTATCAGGTGCGCGTCGTAGTTCGATAAGTTGTGGAAGTAGCACGGTACAAAAATTGGTGTTTGAAGTTTTTGATTACATGTGTTACATATAGCTTGACGATATTTTCCTGAGAGATGGCAATGGTCGGCTGTCTTACGATGCTGTATTTCTATAGGTGATGTAAATTTGATTCGACAGAGGTTGCACTGTGTAGCTGCTTGGTGAGTCTGAACGTCACTCGTAGTCATGTTTATCGAAATATTCGTCTTCAATAATTTTTCTATGTTTAATGCTATTTCAGATACTGTTTTAACAAAATGTCTCGCCACATCCTGTCGACTCTCATTTCCTCGGTATAATATTGGTTCTGTTGATATGTTATGTTTCGCTAATAGCTCTACCGGTACGTTATTGCTCGCCTTCACCATGAGCCCATAACTCATCGCTTCATGTCTATGTATTATTTCTGTGTTTTTCCCCTTCGCTTCGTCAGTCTTCATCAGTATAGTCTCGAAATCTGCATATATTACTATGGGATGTCTCTGAGTGTTTCTCCATGCTTCAAACTGTAGACACTCACCCTCTTTAGGCATCAAAGGTAATATAAGCTTTTGTACACCACAAATCAGCTTATGCTGTTGCAGTCCCGCCTGTCCACCCAACTTGAATTTCAAACTTTGACTATCGAATGACGTGAAGCATCTCTTACAGAACACAACTCTCTCTGTATGTCTAGTTGTCTGCGCGCGAAGGAGTCGGGAAAAATTCGATATATACACATAATGAGAGTTTTCTTCATCCGTCACCAATAGTAGATCGAAGTGGTCAACCTTCTCATCGTCAACAATACGTAGCGGGTACACTTCATACGTCATACATTTGCGTAGTGGCTGAAATTTTTTATCCAACCCATAAACATTTACGGATACGTTGACGTTATTTTTTTCAAATTTTACAATATCAGATATAGGGGTTGGGAACGTGATATTACTAAAATTGTATTTAGCTTCATGTTTAGTATAATTTTCTCCAACTCGACATACGGCCTGCCCTGTCACATGCCTCGCTAGTATCGCCCACTTAAAACATTGTTGTTCATTGTTTTGAGGGTTAATTGTACCCCGTTTTCTATCTATATACGCTGGTAACGCTATGTATGATGATCCACCCATCGGAGTATATCTATATAAGGTTACCAATAACCCGTCTATAGAATCTAATGTGAACCCACTTCCACGCGATTTATATGTCTCTTGTTCATCCATCAACTTAACAATCGCCTTTTCTATAATTTCTGAAATATTGCTGTCTATAAATATTTCCACTGCTATTGTTTTAAACGCTCTATTTTCCGATGAATTTAATATATTTGGTCTGCTGTAAGTCGCCTCTAGTTTTAGATTGAATTTAATAGCATGTTTTTGTACGCTGACTTTAATCAAATTTTTAAGCTCAGACTTGAGTGAGCGGAGAAACTCAGAATAAATCGGTATATTATTTATATTTTTCGCGTAGTACCAAACGATTTTACGGTTGACGGACGATGAAATCTCAACGAATTCGTTGGATTGTACTAAGCTCATGCGTGCCTTCTTTGCCTTAGCAGCTGACGTGGTGTTGGCGGTGGATACACGATTACCGTTAACGTTCGTAGTTGTATAAGAATCTTAAATATAAATAAATCCTTATAAATAAATCTAATGAAAAACTAATTTCCCTATATTATTATACTTATGATATATGTATATTATATATATATTAAAAGAAATATCGTATAAAATCGTGTTGAAAAAAAATAATTTAAAAAAATAAACCTATCAAACGATCTGACAGCCAGTGCAATGCCGGAATACTCCAACTATTATACCATTGATCGCTTCACAGACCACTTGATAAGTTTAAAATTAAACTTATGATTTATAAGAATTTTTTAAATAAATTAAACATGCGATTTATACGAATTTTTAAAATAGACTAACCTGTATTAACTTCATATTCGTCCATAGCTGTCATACAAATATCATCATCGGATAGAGATATGTCAGTTGATGTACTCGAACAACTGGGAGGTGTATCGGGGACAAAAATTTGAGGTGCAATCTGAATACTCCCCTGAGGTGTATTGACTGCAGGTGGTGCATACTGTATAACGCTAGGTCTATCAATCGGCTGAGCGGGCTGACGAATAACCGTAACGTTAACAATACCTTATGAAAAATAAATATTATTATATAAGATATAAATTAATATTGAATAAAATAAGTAAACTCACCATGAACATTTTTCTCATGTCTATTACGATGTGACTTGTTATAGAATGTCTTGATGCATATAGAACACTTAAAACATATACCCGCGTGCCTCTTCTGGTGAACGGTCAAATTTCGTTTCACGGAGAAGACTGATGAACATTCATTGCATATAAACATAATGATATAGTTTAAGGAATAAATTGATAACAAATATAATATGTTAAAAAAAATAAACACAGAAAAACATGTAGTGATAATTGTAAAATAGTAGACAATTTATTGTAAACGGTAAAATAATTGCGTGGAGACTTCGAAAACACGTAGCGAACAACGTATTCGTACAATTATAGATGTCTAGAACAGACTGATTCTATATCATTGTCCGTTCAATTATGTTTTAGGATTTTTTAAAGGTATGATAGTATTTCGTGGGAAGATTCTGTTATCATTATATGTTATTCAATAATAGGTATTTACTTAATTATTATTGTTTGTAAGCAAATAGGGTATTTTTTAGTATATATATATTGGTTATTAATGCGTGTTATTCACTAATAGGTATGATAGTATTTCGTGGGAAGATTCTGATATCGTTGTATGTTATTTAATAATAGGTATATATTAATTTGTTATTGTAACTATAGCTATTAATGTATACAATAATATGATAATGATAACTTGATAACTGATCAGATGTAAACACGTAGTGGTTAAATATATAGATCGGGGAGAGGGTAAATGTACATCGCATACATACGCGATCGGTGGCGGACCAGTAAGGCTATGGTGAGGTGATGAAGGGAAAATATACGTCACACACGTAGCGGATCAGGCGGCGGGCTGGGAGGTCGTATGGGTCGCATAGGTCGTTGTTTTAATTAAATATGTAATTGATAACTCGTATCAGGTGATAGTAATAAAAAAATATAAGTACATAATTTATATTATGTTGATCACTTAACGGATAGGAAGTTGGTGGGGTAAATATTATACCGTACACACGTAGCGGATCAAGCACGGCGGAGGCCGGGGAGGTCGTATGGGACATAGGACGCATGGGATGCACATGAGTTTATACTCAGAACATACTAAGAGCCAGTTAGCCGTTCTGTTTAACATTGATTATGTAATCAGCAATCAAATGTTAATCCTCAGAATTATAAGATTATAATCAGAATGTTGTACAGTAAGTAGTGGTTAAATCGGTTAACCGACGTATTACGGTAACTCGTTTATTTGATTACGGTTGGTAAACAGATGAGATATTATTTATCACAAATTTATCCCAAATATTTGGTTAAATTATTTATTCAATTAGTGTTGCATCGTTATTGTTTTGTTTAAAATTTTGTAGAAATATATTTACTTTTATTTATTATGAGCAATCACAGTTAAAACATGCCGCTAATTTACGGCAATCAAACAGATATTTTGGTGCATTGAAAAATACAAACTGTTGTCACCAAAGACATTCTGGCAAATACCAAATATATTTAAGCATCCTTATCTCCAGAAGTTAAAATATTATCTTTATTATACTTGCCGAATCCCACAATTAAACTATAAATTTAAAATTTTTGTTTAGCTTCTTATATATCACTTATACAAAATATTGTTTAGAATGAAAAAGATGCTTGGTTTAAAATAATGAAATTAGATTCAACTCTCAATCTTTTGAAAATCCCGTTCTGTAAAAATAAATATAAAAATGTAAACGTAATGTTAAAAATATGCGATGAAAAACATTTAATCGAAGCACTGGGGAGGACCAGCAAAATGTTTCATAAACATTTATAAATACACCAATTGGGAAATATTACAAGGAAATAAAATGACTGGGGAGCATCAGTTTATGATTCTGATAAGCGAATAATGTACCAGTGACTCCAGAAAATATTGGTTATGATAGTGAAGATGAGAATGGTATATCATAACAATAACCGACTTTGCGGCTTTATCAATGTCTGAAAATAATGATAAGTTCACTATAAATGGTAGTAAAATCTTTATTATTCAAAATGTACTTCTATTTATCTAATTAATTCTATTGAATAATATTTTAATTAATTATTATCTAACTATAAAATTAAATTGTTTATTTTGGAATAAAACACTTGAAAACAAAGCTATTCATGACATAACTCTCTACTTTAAGGGTGGAGTGAAACTACACACCACTGATTTAAAATCAGATCAACCCTTACAACGATTTCTGGTAGATATTTTAGTTATTTCTATAAGTAGTGAAAATTTTCTCATAAAATTTTAAATATCTTTTAACATTCTTTTAAATATTAGGAGAAGCAGCAAAATAATATCCTTTATATACAATTCTTTTACTCAAATTAGTTATACAATTAATTAGTTAAAATTATTAGTATATTTTATAAATGAAATATTTTTAGATGAAATGTTTCAAAAACAAAGACTTATCAAGATAAAATTACCAGTGGGCATCAACTCGTGCATCTCTAACTGAGCAACAACAGAGGCTTTCAATAGACAACACAAATTAAATGACATAAGTGAAAACATATTATAAATAAAATTAATGAACAGCTATCAAGTGGATGATTACAAAAATATTTACAGCTGAAAGAAAAGAAAATCAACATAATGATAGATTAAAAACTACCTATTAAATTTTAATAATAAATAATAATATAATATATTTTCTAATACCTAATTACCAAAACTGTTATTTGTTTTTAGTGGTTTATTTTTAAGTTAATAAAGTATAACTAATACCATTGGCATTAAAGACTGTAATTTGTTTTAATAGTTTGTTATTTTTAAAGTTTATATAGTTTTAATTAATACTT